TGTTATGGAGGACTGCTTGTTAAAGATTTATCAGCAAATAAGTGTCTACATTTCGATGGCATTTTGGGGGGAAAAATTGAGGTGTTGCGGACATTTGTTCTAAATTTTTTTGTGAGACATGCACTGCTTATAGCACAACCACCAATATCACACACCAATGAAACATCATTTTCTGGTTTGTAAAAACTCATTAAAAAATTTTGTATTCTGTAATGGATTCTTGAATGTGTGGTCTTGTTTTTTTGTTTTTTTTGTGGAAATTTAAATTTTCAGAATGGAGATGGAGATCTTTCTAGACTACTATATTATTTCGATAATCAATCAAAAGAAAAAATAATAAAACTCACACTTTATCCTTAGCATTAAACATTTAAATGAAGCTCAATTTCAGATTGCACGTCTTTTTACAAAATTCAGAGATATAAAAACAGTCTTCCATCTTGCTGCAGAGAACAACTAAGAGTGTTACATTCTGTTTTAAAAAATACTTGCAGCTAAGATAAATTACAAGTGTTTTTTTTCTGGTGCCCACAGACACTCCAACTTCATGGAGCATCGGCTGGAACAGGTTGTTCTTTATGAACTTTCTGCCACAACTAGAGGCCAATTAAGAGCACACAAATGCACTGCTATATATAAGTGTTCATGTTAATTACAGTTAAACTATTTGTATTAAAGTTGACACCTCTTTTGAAATCCACCTTTTAAATATGTGACTATTACAGTAATGAGAATTTAGGGGCAAATGTGCTTAATTGTTATGAAAATAATGTCAATGCAATGCAAACCTTTCTTTAGTGTTTTGCAAATGGTTCATTTTGTTTATGCAAAATTAAATTTGTTATGTTTTCTTTTGAATTTTGGGTGAAATGTGACAACAAACATTTTTTGTTGTGATATTCACCTAGTTGATGTCTAAGCACTTATTATTAACATCAAGATTTTAGGTTAAAATGTATATTTTATGAACAAGGCCAAAAATAGTAACTTAAGCACCTGTTCACCTTTTCTTAACTTCACAAGTTCATTTAAAATGGTCCTACAGTCTGACAAAAAAATGAAAATTTAAAAGTATCGATATGTAATTGTAGTGTCTCTATTATTACAAGGTCAACAAGCAGCAAGTAATAACAGAATTAGCTAAATGCTTTAGTAGGAAATAGTTGGAAATTTCAACTTTACATAAGGATTTTATGTCAGCTACCTTAATTCACTGTATACCAGCACAAAGAAAGTATCTTTAGAAGGAATATTTCACACAAAAAATACACTTCTGTCATCATCTATTCACAGGAGACATACATTTGATTGGCCACCCTAACATTCTAAACTGTCATTGGCTATCCTCAAAGTCAGAGACGAAACCATTAATAAAACTAGATATATCAGTTTGAATCACATCAGTTATACTATGTTGGAAGTAGGGATGTAACGATTAACCGCGAGCCGTTTGAAAATCGATTAAAATGTGTGACGATTCAAATCGGTTGAGATGCTAAACAAATCGCAATTCATTTAGGGGTAGGAGTTTATATGAATGTATGTCTGAGGGGAACTTACTGTCTTTAGAAAAGTTTATATGCTATTGTATTGCTTTGTTTACAGCGGAAACCAAGGAAACGCTTTAAGCGCCACCTGCTGGCAGAGAGTGAATCTGCGTCTCATTCAGCTCGTCTGCTGTCTCTGTTTCATGCAGATATTTTTTACGTATCAAAGTCAAATCATTCTGTTTTTGCTTCAAATTTCGAAATTCTACAAACTAATTTAGATTAAAAACTGCTCATGTCGCATGTATGCAGCATCTTTGTTTGGATCATAATTAAAATGCAGTAGTAGCCTCTAATTTTAAATGGAAAGAGCACAGACAAAGCCTTAGTTTGTTTATATGAAGAGATTTATTTTGTGTTATTTATTTATTTGATTTGGGGAAATTTTGATAACATTTCTATTTAGTTTTGTTATTTACATTTACATTATATTTAAATTTTGTTATTTAGCAGACGCTTTTATCCAAAGCGACTTACAACTGAGGACAATAGAAGCAATCAAAACAGCAATAATATGCAAGTGCTATATTAGTATATTATTATAGTGTTATATTTCAATTTCACAAAGAAACGTTCAGCATTTTGTCCAAGCAATAATAAAAGGACACATTTAATTTATAATTTGTCTTAAATCTCATTTTGTAAAAAAAAAATATATATATCGTTAATCGAATCGAATCGTGACTTGAGTGAATCGTTACATCCCTAGTTGGAAGCATTGAATATTTAATGTTTGACAATGTTTTAGTTTAATTTGTTTTCCCTTTTCTCTGATCTGTGTATCTCATACCTTTTAGTGGTTTAAAAAAAAAGCACAAACAGATACAAACTGGGAAATGGTAACCACCACGCAGTATATAAAATCGAGAAAACCGAAATTTCATGACTGTTTCATTGAAATTGATGTGGCCGGAAAGTTTTCAAAAACATTCTCGGGCTTGAGCCTACTTGAAGTTATTGTTATAAAATCGAACTTTCCTGAGGAGATTCTAACACCAGCACAGGTTCATGAATATAGAGTAAGGTCAGCAGCAGTTTATTCCCCGTGTGCAACGATACACCAACATTAGCCAGACTCAAACTGTGAGTTTCATTCTGCTAGCCTTGTTATAAGAGAAATGCTGTCAACTCTGAATACATTGCTGATTCACTCTCACCTGAACAACAGCAGCATAACACAACACAGCATGACTAATCACCGAATATCTAACCCTCCTTCCAAAAGACATTCATGATAACATGTCCACAAAAACATATCAGTCTACTTCCCCTATTAAACTAGTAGTGAATACATAAAAATGACAGACAGAGAGGCAGACAGAAAGAGAGGTCATCACTAATGAGGGAAGCAGGTGACCTCTGCAATTCAACAGTGATCCTATCAGCTTCCTCTGTGTTGCAGGGGTTAATCCCCTTTAGCCACTAATTGATAGGAGATAACATGATACTATTGCCAAGGCCCTGTTTGGTGCAACCCCTGCACTCTCACACGTTGAGTGTCAGTGGGAGATCAGACGTGAAATTGATATTTGGGATGTGCGCGGCTCTTTCTTATCGAAGAGTTGCAGTGTTCATTTGGTGTTTGTGTCACAGACCCTTTGCTGGGATTAACCACTTGGCCTTCACTGTGACCAGTCCATTTGGTTTTCAACCTATCAACACATGCTTTAGCAGAACAGCATCAAAACGAAAGAACCGTTAATGAGTCCGAACGCTTTGACTGGTTGGCGAGCCTTAGCACCTGACAGAATAAAAATAGGGGTCAAGGTTAAATCTTAGCGTCACCTCTTGAGATCAATCAAAACAGCGCTTAGGCAAGAATATACACAGCAAAATACAGTATGGTGGTATCCAACAAATGAAGATGACCCTTTAACTGCTCGCATATGAAGCGATATTTGACATATCCGCAGTCATAGATGTGTGCGTTTCTCAGTGATTTAATGTCAAATAGTGGCATACAGGAACTCGTCGGCATCATTCAGACTAATTAAAAGGCCATTAAGCGATCAGCAGCTGAGAAAAAGGAAAAGTGTGTGTGTGTGAGTGAGTCAGTGAGTGAGTGAGTGAGTGAGAGAGATGAGATTTCATTAAAATACTATCTATGCCTTTAGGGTGAAATGGAATAAACAAACCTTCTTTCTACTTCTCCTTCAAAACTTAATAAATCATTCAGACAGCTTAGGAAACATGCATATAACTATATAAAAAAATACAAATAAAAAGTGAACAAATAACATCATGCATATAACTGTTTGCGATGAGAAAAGGAAGCAGAATTCATCTGAAAATCATTGTTTTTGAGTTCCACAAAAGCCTGAACAATGTTATTCAATTTTAAGCTTTTGAATTACAGGCTGATCGAAACATCCAAATGAAATACCAAAGAGTTTAAAATTCACCCAAGGTGAACAATGCATAATATAATGCGCTTGCAACTAGCATCAGCATCTATGAAAGCCATTAAAGTGGAATAAAATTGTACAAGGACACAGCACTTTAAAAAGTAATTCACTGTTCACACCTAACAAAGCCAAGCTGTGTGTTTTGGCCTTACATTCTGTAAACAGAAAGTGAGTTGAATCAGTAAAATACAAGGACTTACCAATCATATGTGCAGGAGTTCATAAATTAAACCAAATGAACTACCCTCAGCGATGACTGGCATTTCATCTGGCATAGCCTTGAATCAGCTAATCGCTGGCCAATGCCAGCGTATCGAATCTTAAGTTTACTATCCGGTTCAAATAATTATGAATGCTATGAAAGGACTGACATGATGGCATGAAGTTCTTGTGCCAATTCTCAAGACGAATGTTATAACTTGTACAAAGTATCAGCGACAGTCAGACATTAAGCATGCTTTGTTTTAGCCTTCTTAAAGTCATTGAATAGATTTTATGCATAAAATAATTTATGTAAAATTCTAAAAATGATATAAAACCTTCAGTACTCTTGAATATTTCTGTGAAAAAGTATTAAAAAAACATAGTGCTAATATTTTCAGTGTAGACAATCATGCAGATATAAAAGCAAACCATTATATATAAACGTGGAACAAAATGGAAATTGCAAAAGGATGTGTGACTTTCATTGCAGCAGTACATAACATTTGAGCATTTTCACTCTGTGGTTTTGTTTCTGTAGCAAACAACATTTTAGAACATTTTTTCCCCACTGTTCTTACCACTTTTGTCCTCGCACAGTATATCCAAAATGACAATACAGTATTAAATAACGTTTCAATTACAACTGTTAACACTTTTCAAAGATTTATGTTAAACGTTTATTATATATTATCAGCACTCAGAAGTTATACAAACACACAGGGCACATTTGAACATAAATCATTCCTATATACAATTTGTTTTACAAACGTTATGTTCAAACTTAAAATGCGTTTCATAGTGTTTCTCCTAAACATAGCTATACCAATAATCACGAAAACACCCCTCATAAGTTTCGCATTTCGAAGCTTTTCCAGTTACGAGCAAGATTTCAGGGCCAATGGGTCACTCAAGAGGCCGAATCTTCCAGAACATTGTGTACCTCAGATACTGAAGCACAAGGCCACAAATCCACCCTGCAACACACGAACACACACAGACACACTGTCAATGCCACCTTTGTGGCTTTATACACGCTCTACACTTCAAACCAGTCTCCTTCATATCATATTTGTATCACATGAATCCATCAAATGTTTTTTAGCAATACAAATAGACACTGTGCTATCAAAGCAATTAAAAGAATGTTTTTATTACAACAACAATAAACACAATACTTACAAAAATAATTCAGTCTACACGATAAAACAGTCAAAATTAAATTTACATCATGAATACAAGACAACACTGATTTATAAAAATGAATTTAACGTTAATAATAACAATTACTGTATTTACACAAACTGACAAAACAATAATTTTAACAATCACGAGAATGCTTCAAAAATAATGCGAAAACACTTTTCAAAATATATCCTTTTTTGCTCAATTTATTTGCTTCAGTGAACATTTACTACAAAATGTGCACATATTTTTATATATATTTATTTGCCCTGTTCACAACACAAATACTGAGACACAGTGAAACAATCATCTTTAGAGATACTAACTAATGATAGAGATAAGAATCATTAAACAGAATATTCTAATACACAAGAACATATAAAGAATTTGAAATGAATGCTTTAATAAATACATAAAATTAAGGACACATTCAAGGGACTAACATTTTGGACAAAAAAAAAAAAGGTTGAATCCTGCTAAAGCAATCTGTAATTTAATATATTTTAGGGTCAAAGGTATCTGGCATTTTAGGTATCTGTCTAATTCGCTACCCGAGGGTTTAAAAAAGAAAAAACTAAACACAGCATAGTTATATGCCTGAGTAACATACAATAAAATAAAACAAATAACATTTCACAGCGGATTAGAGCACATCATCATTTACCAGTAAAATCCCGAGGGCCTGAAGGCACCATTTTATTTGGATATTATTCTATTCAATTCAAGTTTATTTGTATAGTGCTTTTTACGATACAAATCGTCGCAAAGCAACTTTACAGAAAATTACGTTTCTACAATATTTAGTATTATGATTTTTTGTAACTAAGTTAACTAACAAACATGTTACTTATATCAAATCCAGAAATGAGTTTAAAAAGCAGATTAAAATCTTTCTGTGCGTGGCCAGGAAAAAAAAGTAAGATCTAAAAATATCACAATAACATCTATGCAGAAGATCAAAAGTAGAACTATAAAAAAGCGCATTTGCTTCAATTTGAGACTGATAAACTAGGCACCCAAAGCACGATTCATATCATTCCATATAATCTCCTATAAACACAGCAAATGCAATCGAAGCAAATTTCGGGAAAATGTATCACATTCGGGTAACAAATGAACATCGAATGACAAAACATAGCTAAATATTGCAGGCGATGCCTCAAGTCAGAACTGATTCACGCTGCAAATTCTGGTACTGTGGAAAGGGTATCCATCTTCCTCTGCAAAACTCCTCCCTAAAATGGAGGCAGCTGTCCTAATACATCCAATGTCTCGCTCCAGCACTTGGGTACAGCTTTGAGAAGAGTCAGACTTTACGCTGCCATCAGCACGAGGACATGAGTAAAAGGAAGAAAGCAAGTAAGCCAGGACAGCCACCAAAAAGAGAGAGGCTCTGTGTTTTGGCTGCCTGCCAGTGATCCCTTTAAAATGCCATTGTGGCTTTGATATTGAATATATGCAAGCAATGCAGGAGAGTGAGAGCCTTGTTCTTTCACACACGAAATCCATAAGCTTGCTCCACAAGAGCTACAGAGAGACCTGGGGGGCGCTGTTGGACATTACAACAAAAATGGCTGCCATCTTCATTTCGGGAGATATCATTTCTCATTTCTGCAGCTTTTTAATCATCCATATGAAGTCACAAAATGACTTTTGGAGTCTCTCTCTCTCTCAAGAGTCACCCTGTAACCTTCACATTCAAACGTTAGGCTTTTTCTGTGCCAGACTGTCTGTACAGTTGTTGTTTTTTACCTGTCCGTTAATCAACCTGTCTAATCATTGTGTTCAATGAAGAAATTCATATAAGAAGCGAGTACTGGAAATGATTGGTGCGCCAAGTTGAAAGTGCGATTACTCAGCAACATTTCAAACGTCACATCTGACAAAGAAAAACAGAGGTTCGTTTCGGTTAGCATTAGCTTCTCTGATGCACACTCATCAGCCTGCAGGCTTTCATAATCGCACCTTTGCACACCTCTCTGCATTCCTG